TCATCCTCTGGAAGTTCCAAGCCCTCTTTGGTGACTGACACTAAAGTCTTCCCCTCAAATTCCTTTAGCTGTTGGACACAATACTCATCGATGGGCTCAATCATGTAGATCACTTCCAATCCGTGCTTCCGAAGACGCTCCACAAAGGCCGAGTTAGCAACCTGGTCCTTGGTTTCACCTGAGACAACGGAGGAACAGTTACCTTAGTGTCTCCCACTATCCAGCCCCATCAGACGCTTAGCATGGTCTCAACACCACACGGGATGTAGCTAACTCAGCGATCCAGTGTCTTCTCTAAATCCACCCAAAACCAAACCTACTGTGTCATCAAGTCAGTTCCGAGAGCTACCTCTACCAGGTTTCCAAGGAAGGCTGTCACCTTCATGAGAACAGATTTCCAACCCTTTCTCCTATGGAGAGAAGGCTGATAGGTTCTAACTGCCTGCCAATGTTTCAGTGAGCAGCCCCATGCCTTAACCAAAGCACCATAAAGCACTCCATGTACGGATGCACACCTCCTACAGAACAACTTCCAGCTTACAAAAAACAAGGCTGGGAGGTCCCACTGACTGCCCCTTACCAGTGATGTAGTAGATGTGTTTTTGGTTTTCCTTCATTCTGGTGCAATAGTCCTTGAGGGAAACCATCTCATCACCCGAGGCTGACGTGTAGTATCGCAACAGCTCAGAAAGCTTTTTCCGGTTCTGGGAGTCCTCATGTATTCCAAGCTGAAAAAGAACATTAGCTTTAAAACTCTTCCTACATTGAAAATAAAAAATCATTCAAGTCACACAGCCAGTTTTCGAACAGATACTAAGTGGTCCAACTTGTTAACGAACCTTTATGTTTTTAGAGAACTGTTCATAAAACTTCTTGTAGTTCTCTTTATCTTCCGCCAGTTCAGTGAAGAGTTCCAAGCACTTTTTGACCAAATTCTTCCTGATAACTTTCAAAATCTTGCTTTGCTGCAACATCTCACGGGAAATATTGAGAGGGAGGTCCTCGGAGTCCACCACACCTCTAATGAAAT